AAAAAAAAAAAAAAGGTTCAGAGTTAGCACACTATGTGTTAGGGACCTGATGTATTTTTTCTTCTCTTTGCCTTATTGTAAGAGTACACTTAGGACAATCCTGAAGTAATGGTATGAATCACTAATGGGAGCGTTTTAGGCATCATTAAAAGATGTAGAGATGGGAGTGACTAGGAGGCTCGTTTATGTTCCTTAAGTTCCATAGGACAGGGAGAACCTTGTGTGGCATCTGTACATAAAGCTGGCCTCACTTATCAAAAACTTCCATGTACTGACAGCCAGCTCCTTTGGAACTTTTTTTTTTTTTTTTTTGAGACAGAGTCTCACTATGTCACCATCAGTAGAGTGTTGTGATGTCACAGCTCACAGCAACCTCATACTCTTGGACTTAAAAGATTCTCTTGCCTCAGCCTCCCAAGCAGCTAGAACTATAGGCACCCACCACAACACCCAGCTATTTTTTGGTTGTAGTTGTCATTGTTGTTTGGCAGGCCCAGGCTGGATTTGAACCTGCCAGCTCCAGTGTAAGTGGTTGGCATTCTAGCCACTGAGCTATAGGTGCTGAGCCTCCTTTGGAACTTCTACATGGTGGTAATTTCCTATTTCTTAAAGCCATTTTGCAAGAGAATATCATGGAAAAGTAAGCGAGTTTATAATTGTTTTCATGGGCCTCAGATGAAAGGGGCAGTAAATACAGAGGATTTCTTTTGTTATAACATTTAGTCCTAAGTGATTCTTTCCATGGGCCAGTAAGAGGGGGTTGGGACTACTGTGACAGATCTATGTATCCTAGAGCGTTGTTAAGTGGAGCTCCCTGAGATTTCTCCTACCTCTCTGTTGCACATACATCTGGCTGTTGCTTTTCCAGGTTGTTGAAATGTGTGTAGTGCTAGGACCCCCTAATGTGCCTTTATGCTGTCTGCTAGGAAGGTGGCCTCCTGATGTTCAGCTATAGTGTTCTCTGCCACTTTAGGGTGTTTAGGAATAACTGTTTTGCTTCATCCATATTACAGAAGGCAGGATTTGAACTAACTCTGCCAGCCTTCTCCTAATTTACCACCTTCCTTCCTTCCTTCAATTGCAATGAATAGCTGGCAGCTGGGGTGGGGCACTGCACTGTTCATCTCCAGTGGAAAGCCTGAGTAATTTGTGATGTCATTAAGTGTCTTGAGAGAAGAGGGGAATGTGTTTTAATTTTTCTCCTGATTCTCTTCCAGGCTTCTCTTTCAGTTTCCTGCTTTGAATTGTGTTGGGCTCTCCTCTTTCCACTTGTGTCCTCACTAATAAAAATAGATGTTTTTCTTTTTAAAAATTTCTGAGTAATAATTATTTTATTTTTACACTAGCATTTATTAGATCTGAGAGTTTTATTCAGAAAAATATAATGAAAACAAAGTAAGAAAAGAAAATAGTCCATCTCCAGATTAACTGTTACTTGTATGTTTTTTGTTTGTTTTTTGAGACAGAGTCTTACTTTGTCACTCTTGGTAG